GATGGTTTGTGTGGCTGCAGGTGGATCACATTTGTCCAGTTACAATGAGTTAAATGTCAGTCACACGTGATCACTCAACAGAGGATGTGTGCAGCAGTGACTGTAAAGCTGCTACAGCTGAAAGCAGCTCACTGCAGGCTGGTTGGCGAGGCTCATCATGTTGGTTGTGTTTAACAGTTGTTATTCCCAGAGGACTGAATGAGTCTGAAACTAAGCTTAATTAGTGAAGCAATGCCATAAGGCCTCGCAGTCAGGTGTCTGTCATAAACAGTGAGTGGACTGACAGCTAGTCTGGGTTAAATTAAGACATGTGGCACCATCTGCTTCAACAGTATTTGATGTCGGATGTCTTTCTTTATTGGGTTTGTTTTTTTGTTTTTTTTTACTCCTGTTGATTTGCAAACATAAAAGTGATTAAATGCGTGAGAAGATTTGTTATTTATTTTTTCTACCATCGGGATAAAGTTGCACTGGAAGAGAGCAGAGGAGAGGCAGAGAGGAGGAGGATGGAGCCAGACTGCAGATGCTGCTGCTCTCCCTCCTGTCACATGGACACGAGTCAGGCTTGTTACTTGAGCGCCACAGACAGTGAGATGAGCCAGTTCTGACAGCTCATGAGGAATCTCAAAGGACACGCAATGTCAATATCAGTGAGGCTTCAGTTTAGTCACGAAGGAGGATAAAGAGGGAGGAGGAGGTTTTTGTTACACTCAAAAAAGGCTGTAAGAGCAGCGACCACTAAAAACCTGAAAATAAAAGTCCAAAAATCCTGCACTCAGGGGTGGGAAGTGACTAATTACATGTAATTAACTTCTTAAGTCCATTGTACACTCCTCGAGACTTGATTTGGTTTAACAGGGAAGTAAAGCATTTTCTACTGCAACACATTCATCTGACAGGAACATGCATGGAGCGTTCATATAACACTGTGAACATTCACCTCTACTGGTTATAGCTGATATATAATTTTTAGAAAGGTATTAGTGTAGTTTAGCGATTCTTAATCAAGTAAATCGTCTGAATATTTAATTCTACTGATGGGGCGCTGACTCTGACACACGCCTGGCTTGGAGGAGAACATGGTTTTCAAAAACACTTCAAAGCCTGTTCTTTGTGTAATCAGAGCGCTGGGGTCCTGACAGTGCCACCCTGTGATCATGCCTGGTACGTTGTGTTACCAAAATAGGACATTGACCTTAGTCTTTAACAAACAGCCACAGTTCAGATGGACACGTGTTGTTTTGCTCGTTTGCAGCCTCTCTGCTCTTAGTGTGTTATGAAACGCTGAGGACACGGCCAGACAAGTTTCATAACCAGGAAACTCAGCGATGGAATAACAAGCCATAGGCCCACTGCTTTATGAAGGAAAGTAAGCAGATGGAGGGCTGTTAGCAGGTGATCAACTGTAGAAAAGCAAACAAAAAGAAACTCGCCTTCAATGATTGTCACAGATCTCACATGAAACCCTAAAAAA